TCTAATTGCCAGCAATTTCCATTGCAAGGCAGATGAAATAAATAAAGGCAGAGGCAGTTAACAGACTCGAGAGCATCCCAGCAACAAACATTATCACCAGGGCACTTTTTGCAGACTCTTTTTGCTTGGGAATGGGCTGTTTTGGGCAGCACAGCTCAGTTCACAGGCTGCTTTGAGGGACTCGTGCTGCTGAATACACCAAAGGGCTACAAATAATTCTCCCACCAAAGCAGGGAAAAGGTTGGAAATTCTGATTGTAACTTACATGGCTGTTGAGCAAACTGCTTTTGTGTGATGTAATCCCTTCACTTTTTTGTAGGTTTTCAATCGCCATTTCAAGCTAAAGAAAAATGTGCAAAGGAAAACAAACAAACAAACAAAAAAAAAAAACAAACAAAAAAAAGGGAAAAAAAAGAAAAAAAGAAAAAAAGAAAGGAAATCAGATAGTTAGCAACAGCCAGGATTATTATTTCTTTATTAATATTTGAATGATTAATGCATTATATCACCAAGCTTGTGAAAAAGAGGCAAACAGATGAGCACAGTCCGTGTGGATGAAGCTGCAGAGGTGTTACTGGGACATGCAAATGGACACACAGCAGGAACCACCACGGGGGTGACAGAGCAAGACCAGGGGGGGGTTTATCTTCCACTAAAAGCATTGCCCATTTCAAAAAAAAAAAAAAGGCAATTTTCCTTCTGCTTTCCCCTTCCTGCTGAGACTAAACCATCACCACACAGATCTGCTGCACCAGGACAAGGACTTGCTGAAGAGTTTTGCCTTTCAAGAACTGACAGGAATGACTTTGGTTATTAACCTCTTAATATTCTGTCAAAAACTAAAAAAAAATCCTCCAAAAAACAGGTGCAAAGAGGGCTGAAACAGAGAGGGCACGAGCTGGAATGGATAAGGGCCCTCTGACACTGAGGAGAACTGCAAAGGGACTCTGAAGGAAGAAGCCAGGATGGCACATCTTGATGCTGTTGAACTCAGAGGAGCCAAGGTAAGGCCTTCTGGTCCCTCAAGAGCCTCCTTTTTCTCTCTGAGTGGCTCCTGTTCTATTTTTAACCCAGCTGTGGCTGCTGCTTTGAGCCCCAACCCTCTCCTGGATCCTTCTTGTCTTCTCCTTTCTGCTCCTTGGACTCCCTTGACAAGCTCTGGTAAACTCCTTAGAGGCAGCTGCTGATCCCAGAGCCTCAGAGCTCCTCTCCAAGCTTTTGGCAAGGGAGGAAATAAAAAAAAAACACCTCAAACCTCAAAAAAAAAACCCCACATTAAGGGACTGGCAGGAGCAGAACCTCCTGTTTCTTTCCAGTGGATGTTCTCAAAGCCCTGTTATCCATGGTCTGTTAGTGCAGGCAGGATAAGGTAGCACATATCAGCCAGGAGAACTATCTCTAGCATCTGTCCTCATTTAACACACATCTCCTTTGTGGGCACATGCACTAAACATCTGCAGATGGTCTGTCCATGGCCTCCTTCCCATATTCACAGTCTGCACTGACTCATCGCATGGGGAAGATACAGGTTGAGATAAACCAGACATTTACAAACCCAAGCTCTGTCAGGAAGGTGGGAGAGCAGAACAAATCAGATCCAACTCCTCAAGTAACACCCAAGAGCCAAAGTCAGGCTCTGTGCCACATCCAGGTCCAAGCACAAGTCCCTTGGTTTTCCACGCCAAAGTGCCACAACAGTGGCACTTCCCAAGATGTTATCAGCAAATTCAGCACAGGGTCAGCCTAAACCCAGCTTTTTCTTTGAGAACACTCTCACACACTGATGTGCCAGGAGGAACCAAGGCCTGATTGCTGACACAGCCTTCAGGAAATGAGTCAGTGTTAGAGGGAGACCCCGTTTCCTTCCTGCCCTCGAGCTGGTTGAGCAACCCCTGTTACACAAGCACAAAAACACTGCCTGCCCCTTTTTGGTGAGCGCCCCATACAAACGGACACTTTGCATTTGCAGGAAAAAAATTTTACAGGGGAAAAGTCTAAAAGCTCTTAAACAGCCCCGTAGGAAGGTGAAGAGCTCTGAGGACCCACTTCAAGGATTTCCTCTCTTGCTACAGACTAATTTAGGTGAAGATTAATAGTGCTGTGTTGGCACAGACACTGAACAGGGCTGTTCCATGTGCTGTTCAGATGGAGCAGAACATCATCCCTGGAAGTGTCCAAGGCCAGGTTGGACGGGGCTTGGAGCACCCTGGGCTGGTGGAAGGTGTCCCTGCCCATGGCAGGGGGTGGAACTGGATGATCTTTAAGGTCCCTTCCAACCCAAACCCGATGATTACAGGATTATGTGGAATTCCAGGCAGTTATGATGGTTCTGCTCTATCCTGCTCCAAGCCCCAGATTGTGCTGGAAGAACTGAAAGCCACACACAGACCCACCCCTGGACTGTCTGCCAGGTACTATTCCACCTTCTTCAGCCCCTCCACAGACATTTGGTGTTAAAACACCTTCAGAAAGTGCATCCCTACATGAAACAGAGGGAATTTATCTCAGATAAAGTGACTTTTCTTAGAAGTCACTTCTTAATATTTCATGTTTTTTCCTGAACAGCCTTACCTCGTGACAGCCACAAAAAAAAAAAATAAAATCTGTGCATGGGACATATCTATTGACACATTTTCTGCTTGGTTTTTTTACACTGTGCCCATCACCATGGAAATCAAAAAGAAAAACCCCAAACAACAGGAACCCCAAAACCCAAGAGTGATGTTGTGCAGCTTTGCAAGACGCAGTCCCACGCAGGTGACAAGATCAGCAGCCACTTCCTTCCAAGTAACAAGCTTGAGCAAAAATCAAATGGTCCAATGCTCATTTTTAACTATGAACAGTTAAAATACACACCCTCACACAATTCTCACCCATGAACTGAACCCCAGCTAACCCAGCATCAGTAATTTTCTCTTCCACCCAAACTAAGGACTTTTCCCCTGTTTCTACCTAAGGCAGAGCACATTTACTCCACGATCCAGAGAACCTTTCGAGGCAGAAAGATTCCAAAAACATGGAGTTTATATCCTAAAACTCTGTGGGAAATCAAAGTACAACTTAATAGGCCAGATTTTCCAGAGCCCTCAGTAGCAAACAGCTCCTGGGTTTTTTTTCCCCTGGCCCACACACTGTATTACACCTACATTTATATTTATATTTACATACAAATATATAAACAGAAGTCTGGAGAGGAAGGTGAGGAATGCCCCACAAAATGAGCTTCCACCACTCCTGGCAGCTGCTTTGGGAGATTCCCAAATCCAAGCCCTGGGAGCCTCGAACTGCAGAAAGGCTGTTTTGGGTGAATATCCACAACCCCCCAGTCCCACACAGCTGTACAGCTGTGCTTCCAGCACTCTGGCACTTCACTGACAGCTGGAGGGACATGATTTTTTTAAAAAAACAGAGAGCTTTAAAACACTTCTGCTTGATCAGTATTACCTCTAAACTACATTTTCTGTAACATATGGCAGGGAGAGAATACACAATGGTGTACAAGATACATATACAAAGACTTTTTGATCACTGTGCACTTGGAACGATCAGCTTGACAAAACTCATGTGCTAATTATCCCCTGGGTTAATGAAGGATTTTCCAGGTCTCTTCACAGTTGAAAATACATTTCATTATTTTGGGCAAACCAAGCCCCCGTGTTCAGATGTTAGATTTGGTAGAAAAAAAAAAAAATAAATAGAGACAAACGTGTTGAATTGGGAAGGCAAAATATTTTGCTTGAGAGGGAGGGGGGAAAAGAAAAAAAAAGCAAGGTCACAGAAGATTTTTCTCTTATCTTATTTGAATGAGTGGGAATTTCAGCGATTGGGAATTTCAGTGATTGGGAAGTTTGACCAAGTCCCTGCTCGAGCGAGAGGGACGTTCCAAACTCCCATCTGGAAAACCCCGGCACGCCAGTGTCTAGTCTCTCCCTTCCACTTATGGCACGTTATGGACACCGATAACAACAGGAAGTTTTTGTATTTTCTGAAGGATTTCAGTGCCCCTCGGCACAACAATTGCTGGCCCCCGAGCTGCCACACCCGCAGGGCTACATACCGTTGCTGGAGAGGAGCGTGAGGTGTGTGACAGGGAATGTCTAGAGTTCTCCAGCCCCCCATGAATGAGATAGGCTCCCGAGCCGGAGAGGATCTGACTTCCCCCAATGTCCATGGTGATGCCCACCATGTTGTGAGAGGGAATGGCAGGAGGAGAGGATGCCGCTGTAGTCACCTGAGCTCCTCCTCCCTGCGCTTCGAAGTAGGAGGCGGCGCTGCTGGGGGCGTAAATCTGAGCCTCGGTGTTGTAGGAGTAGGCGGCTCGTCTGTCAAGGAACGCACAGGGGTCAGGGCGTGGAGAAGTGGAATTCTGTGGGTAATGGTTTCTGCAAGCTGGAGCACCCCTGGGAGAAAAGGCTTGACTCTGCTGTCGGTGGGATTTGGGGCAGGGAAATGGAACTTTGTGGTGTGGGAGGGTCCAGAGGGGAAGGGGCTGAGGGTGCTGGGCTGAGGGTGCTGGGCTGGGGGAGACTCCTCAGGGGCTGCAGCTTCCTCCAAGGGGCAGCTCTGACCTCTCAGACCAGGGACAGGAGCCAAGGAAGGGCTGGAGCTGTGCCAGGGGGGTTGGGATGGATCTCAGGGAAAGGTTCTTCCCCCAGAGGGTGGTGGGCACTGCCCAGGCTCCCCAGGGCAGTGGGCACGGCCCCAAGGCTGCCAGAGCTCCAGGAGCGTTTGGACAATGCTCTGAGGGACAGGGGGGGATTGTTGGGGTGTCCTGGGCAGGGTCAGGAGTTGGACTGGATGGATGGTCCTTGGGGGTCTCTTCCAGCATGGGTTATTCCATGATTCTATGTTTCTATGAAAGTCAGTCCTGACATTGTTGGTCAGCCCTGGAGCCACAGTGAGGGCAGAGCGAGG